TACATATTATTATATACACACCACCCTCTGTATACTGAGATTTTTTTTGTGATCTAATGCTGCTCGAACGGTTTGACAACAACCAAGGCGTCACAAACGGCTTCAAATATTAGAAAAATCTAATATAGACGAATTGGCGGGGGTGGGGGAGCCTAGTATAACAATTGATAATCTTTGTTTATGAAGAAATTATTGAATACCATTCTACCCTACAGTTTGATTCTATTTTTTTTCTCCAAAAAATACTTTTACCTTTATGTTTGTAAGAATATGGGCAGCTCCCGACACGGAAAAGACGGTGTTGTGCGAGGTGGAGGATATTATAACAGATAGTGATGTAACTGTTCGCGGGACACCTCAGACAAAAGATTTTTTTCTTAGTTATATGTTTTATTTGACTTAGCAGCAGCCGTGAGTCTCGTACAGGTACAATAGCCGGCCACGACAGCGTAGAAATTGAGACAATACAAGCATTGTACGCGCCCACAATGGCGTCGTCGCGTTGTTATATTTATTACAATTATTATAATAGACAAGTAGGTCGTGGTCAACAAAAAAAAAAAAAAGTCACAAAGTAATAATATGTATTTCTTACGCTTTGAAACATATATACTACATTTGCGGTGTATTATTATTATATTATACACTATAGGTACTAACAAAAAGAATAACCTGCCGGAATAATGATAAATAATAAACGCGCAGAACAAACACACGGTGTTGTTGTTTTGTATTATGATAAATGATTCCTTCTTGTTTTTTTTCTTCTATTATTATTATTATTCTCCTTAGTTATTATTGTTGGGAGTCGCCGCGTAGCACACACACACACAATAGCCGCCATTTTTTTTATTTTCTCCGGATCGTAATGATGATAGAAAAATATTAATAATAATTCACAATGAGAATGATAATGATAATTGAAAATCACCATTGTGACGTGAACACAGTCTCTCGGGTCTCTCTCTCTTGCGTTTGTTTGGCTAACAAATCAACACAGTTCGACAAAAGACTACACCGCCCAATATTGTTCATCCGTGGCTCGGCCAGTGTACATAACAATACATACCTGATACCTCCATCTAATGTTCGTTTAAATTAAAATATATATTATGTACATAAAGAACAATTTACAAGTATAGTGTGTATTTCTACAAGCCTTAAAAAAAAAAAAAAAAAACGTTAACAATATTGAATACGGTAGTTTGTGCGTGCTCGCCACAATTACTTATTTTTTTTTCTTCTTTTCACTCAGACTATATAATAAATAATGTGATATATTGGACCCGAGAAAAACTGAATGAAATTATCCGGCCACCGATTTTGGCAGAGCTCCGGACAAGCGCGTAGGCCGCGTTGTGTGTCTAAATTAAGCTCACTCGGATGTTAAACTCGAATTAATATTAATAACAATGTGCTCGTATGTGATTTGTGCACGTATGGCCGAGACAAATTCGTATATTGTTAACACATTTATTTCGTTATTATCTGCCAACGAGATACATGCCAGCCAGCCCAAGACTAAACTGTATTCTCTTGCTCGCTGTACATCACAAGCACAGCCGGAGAGAGAACTCCTCAAATTGCACCTCGACAAACTTGGGTTTGACCATATTGTGTAACATTGTAACGATGTTGTCTGTATCGATTAAACGTGAGTTGCCATGTCTGTTTACAATGTTAAAGGTATTTTGTAGTCCTAATTACAATTATACCTAACCGTAAAAATATTCCCTTAACAGGCAGTGAGCTTAAATTTTTATTTTTTGTTTTAATGCCAATGTATTTAATATGTTACGTCTTGTTATCTGTATCCTATATATTAATTAAATGTACATCTATATACTTTACCCTTTGCGTGTCAATAAATAATAATGCGTTCTTAATCAAATCAGAGGCCAAAATTTACTCTATTTGTATTATAACTACCACTACAGTTGATTAAGACGTTTGGTAGTTCGATAGTCGGATAACTTAACTGATTTAAACTTGTAAAAAAAAAAAAGCGAATAAATGAGATTTATAAGTCAATTTATGTGCCTTTTGGACCGATATAAACGTTTCGTTCCAGGAACAATATTCTAAAGCTTTTTTTATTGACTCGGTAGTTCAAATACAAATAGTGTAAATTATGGCTGGGTAACGTTTTCGATCCTTGTTCAAAACGTTTTTGTTTAATATTTTAATAACCGTAATGGGCGCAACACTAGAGGGGTGGGGAGAAGGCTAGGGAAGTTCAAATCAAAGGAAATTCCGAGGGAATTTTTTTTAGAGTTTTTAAAACATCTACCTTAGTTCTCTACCCCCACCCCTCTAACTGCTGTTATTATGATGATCTCGGTCGATATGTGAGTGTGGTGTAATGTGTACAATATATCGCCCTAAATCCTGTATCGTTTTTCGTTGTTGTTGTTGTTATAATATTATTATTATTATTATTATTTAATATTTAAACACTGGCGGAAGCCGGAAGCGATGCGGCGTTAGCCGTGTAAGTGAACCGTGAACGATTAAATGTCCATTCGTTTTATACAGAGAGGTACATCCCCGGAGGGTCGCCTTGTTTATATCAATCGCGCAATAACCCGAAACATCAAACATACGTTTATGAATATTTAATGAATGTGCCGGCCACTTTTTGGACGTACTACAACACACAGAGGGCGAATTGAGGGGAATTAGCAGCACAACAGCAGCGTGGAGACTATGGACGGATAGCCGCCCCAACGCTGCCGATACACATACACTTCACCCTTTACACAGTATACACATTATAATATGTATAAAATGTAACAAAACTATATAAGGAGGCGCAAAGGTCGGACGCATAAATCACATTCTCCACGAGCACAACAAGATAACCGAGAGACGGCACGAACCCTTTTTTTGATTAGAGGTTGTTTTTTTACCCCACCCAGGCGTTTGTTCCACAAATGGGTATAGAAAATAATACTTGGTTTTTTTTTTAATATATATATATATTTTGTAACACGTGCGCCAGGGATAATGTTGTTGTACTTAGAGTTTACATTATGATTCGAATACAACGTTGGCTAAATAATCATCTAGACAACACGTTATTCGAGTAAAAGTTATTCGGATAAAATCAAAAAAAAAATATTCGAATAAATTGAAAAAAAATTATTCGATTAAAAAGTTATACGAGAAATTTCAAAATTACCATTCGAATATATTTAAAAAATATTATTTAAATAGTTTGTAAGTACTTTGTTCGAGTAATTTTAAGGTATAAACCAGTAAATATAGTAAGACAATTTTTGGTTCGAATAAATTGTAAGCAAATTATTGGAATAATTTTTTATTCCAATAAGAATTTGCACAACTTTGTTGTTTAAACGTGTATTTACTTAAAAAAAAAAAAAAATTAAAAAAACGCCAAAAAATGTATTTGTACGACATGGAAAATTAATTTGTTTGTCATACCTTGTTGCAGTTTATATTAAATGTGTTAATCGCGTGTCGTGCCGCCCACAAATACAATACGGACCACCCATCAAAGGTCTCCACGACGATTGCACAGAGTTCTTAAGACGGTTCTTTTTACCCGGGTTTCAAAGACGGTAAAAGGGGAAGGGCATTTTTTTTTTTTGTTATTTACTTAGCTACGACGACTGCACCGAAATAATCATAATATTATATAACGAGATATGTACCTAAAGAAAGAGATGAAATCTTTTCAGGAGTTGATTAAAAGTCCGAGCAAAAAAAAAAAAAGGGAAAAAATTATTATTATTATTATTATTGTTATGCAAACAGAACAGTCGAGTAATAACGAATCAAATAATATGTATACATATTTTATATTGTGTATAATTTACCTTTACGGCCGTCGTGGTGGTATTACTGAAAAGAGAACGTGAAAAATATTATAATACTACCGTGTACACGCCGGGGCAGTTTTAAGTAAAAGCCATAATAGTATTATTATTATTTCCGGACGAGGGTATTATAAATTCTTTTTGAAGTGAGTTTTATTAATTTCTCAGTCGGACAGACCGTTTACAGATTGGGCGAAATTCATTTTGCGTTTCATTTTTTCCCCTTTTATATACCAATCACATTATATACACAATATCTCTCTGTACAAAGTAAGTGTACAAAAAGTTATGTTTTTCATACCGTCAATCCTCAGTTCGTTTAACAGTGTTGCTCGACCATTGTGTTGTACACACAATACCATAACCATATACTGCAGAGTCGTTGCCTTTAAGCGTACGACCCACATAATACAGAATGATTCATCAAAGGATGTAAGACATTGGTTTTCTCTTAAAATAATTGCAATTTTGTAGTTTTGCTTTTTGGAGAGACACTAGTTTATGTATTTATATTTAATTGACTTTTTAATTAAGAAAAATTTGCTAGAAATGTAAATAGAGTTCTGGAAAATACTGTAAAAAGTATACATTTAGTGATTTTATAACATTACACAATTGCAATAATTTTCAAGAGAATATCGAGTGTCTTGTCCTTAATCATTCACCCTGTATATAGAATACCTTTAACGCTGTTTACACGGTACATAATAATACAATATAGATTAGATCCTAAAATAAAAAATATTCTAAACAGGTTACAATGTGTCTCGGCGCACTCGACGCTGCCTGTCGGGTTCTTAATTCTTATATTATACACTATATCACACTCGAAAGATATATTTACCTACTTGAGAATTTCGTCGAGATTAGCACGACCGGCACAAACGTAGACATATTATTAAAAATTACACTTTTAAACGTAAATTATCGCAATACTAGACACGGTACACATATAGTACACGAGTAAGAGATGTACATACAAATATAATGATGTGTACATTGTATGCCTAATATAGTTGTGTATAGGTAAAGAGTGAATTTGTCAAACGTTCCAAAGTTTATAAAACTTAAATTTTTAACAATCAAATTTTAAAGTTAAATTTTTATCCTTTGGCACTAGAGTGCAATGCAATACACCATCCTGACAAGTTACAATCTTACCTTGTTGGGTTGCTCTTGTTGGGTGAGAAGCTGCTCCCTGAACAGTTGCAGTTGCAGTATCATTTCGGACAGCTTCCTTTCCTTTTCCACTATGGTGGTGGCGTCGCCTTGCAAGTGCTGCAGGAGTTCCAACCCCGGCGGTCCGGCTGCTGTGTCTTCAGCACCGTGATCTGCCAACGCTGCCGAATCGGTTTTACTGTAACAAACATAGAGACATTTAGAGACTAAAAAAAAAAAATGAATGTAAATTATCTTTAAAAAAAAAAAAGGCTGTCCTGTGTTCGAAGCAGCCGGGAAAGGATAGCAAAGGATTATTTAAACACAACGGAAAGCTCGTTTCGATTACATTAAAAATGACAAACGGGGGACGAGAATCAATGGTGATTTATGTACAAACTAAACCCTAAACAACAAACGGTATACATATATAAAGATCAACCCCTACGATGTCCCTCGACCATAAGATGATGCCATAGGTAGGTATACAGCGCGTATAGCGTTTTATTATTTATTCACAGGACCCTTGGGGGTCGCGGTGCCCCCGCCGTCCACATACATATGCAATTACCCTTTTGATCCTATAACGCACTCTTGCCTACCCCTCAGTACACACATACATATTAACCGAGTGCGGGATGTATATAGGTTTTTTTGAAAAACATCTCCTTCCGCTTCCTGAAAATTTGTCTCTTGTTCTTATTTTACGGTCACGGTATATAATATGTATGTATATTTATCATGTGTGGGAAGTTGATGCCCTCCGTCCGAACGACCCATCCTCTTCTCCAGTCTCCCTCCCTTACCTTTACTGCTTTTATGTTTTACACAATATTGTTTCACTTTGTCGAGCGATGTGCACAACCGCCGCCGCCGCCGCCCTGTCATGAATAAGGCAACGACAACTAAAAAAAAATCGACAGAGAGAGTACCTAAGACAAGTGCACACAAAAGAAGAAGATAAAATACCCACGTGTTGTTGTTCCCCGAGGACGTATTTATACATGATCTACTTTACATAATATATAACGCGTTTACCGAGAGAAAGAAATTCCAAATGACACAAGACGCAATACTGTAGGTACTGTAACGTTAGGGATGATGTAAGACGACAAACTAAACCAAAGTTATCCAAAAGTGTTGGACAGGATTCCAGACAACCTAACCCCGTCAATCGTACAGTTCAAATGATAATTCGACTATTTTGTATCACAGAAGATGGGAATTTTTTTTCTTATCTTCGATATTATACGAAATTTAACGCTTGTATCTGTGGTCACACTGATTTCGTTTTCAGCCAGAGCGCAGAGCCGGCTATTTGTTTAGTCTGTGCCCCCAAACGTCGTTTGATGTGTACTACATTAAAGTCCAAAAATTGTCAACAAAGTGCTCATATTTTTACTAAGACTAGGACTAGAAGATATTATATAATTTATAAGCAGTAAATCTCAGAACTACACCGAGTAAGACTTGTGGTTGTCTGATGTACAAGCAACTGTCCAAATAAGAGACAAAAGTTTATTTTATACACTAGAATTTCTTAAGCCCATAACTTTTAGACAGGTCAATTGCACAAAAAAATAATATATTATACTCGGCTGAAACATAACGGAAGATGAAAATATAATATCGTCTACTTACCCAATGCGCATATTAATCCCGTAATGGTGCCTAAATAATAATATTATAAAGTGTTTGTAAGGATAATAATGCGGTACCTATACCGGATAATAATATACGATAGAAAATTATGTACGGTTTAAGAACTATTTCTTTTGCTTTTTAACATAGTAAGACCGACGGATTTTTTTAATTTATAACTTCCCAAAGTTGTTTAACGACCGCAACACGTTCGGCCGTCTCGATATTATAATAACAATAATTATGCATCAAAGTGTGATTTAGTGGGAACATCGGCTGCAAATACATAATCTATACGGTCTATACATTGCACGCTATTGTTGCATATTATTATTATTATAGTATACTTTTTTGATACTTATTATTATTATTATTATGACCTTGCCGGTCGGGTAAAAAAAAAAATAGGCGGTGTGAATAGGACGTGAGACGCCGACATTGTAGTAGGTATATTCTAAGAATTTGGACTACACAGGTGGTGGTGGCGGTGCATGAATACACAATAATAATTACATTTTATTATATTTCACTATTATTATTATTATTAATGGTCTAGGTACAAAGTAATAATAGAGCTAATTGGCAATAAAAAGAAGATTTGCGCGAAATCGTTATGAATTTTACACGCTAAACGTTTGTGTATTGTTATAAGACGGAAAAAAAAAATAATATATTATTACAATAACAGCCGTCCGACTGGCCGAGATAAGACCGGTTCGATATGGGAAAAAAATAAAATAAATAATTAACCTAACCGTTACTCGTTACTATTATTATTATTATCATCATCATCGTACCTGTGTTATTACCCTTTAGGCGGGGCACGAGCAAGTAAACGCACACAATTTTCGCAAAATCTTAATTTCAAGATTAAAACAAATATTAAAATGTAAAACCAGACAAATGCTAAAAAAAACTTGAAAAATGACAAAAAAACAACGAAAAATGTAAATAAACTTTAAAAATCTCAGGTCAGTGTGACCAAAATGTGAAGAAAAAATAAGTCCTCCCGTTATACAGTGTGGTCACTGGTTAAATAATTGTTATCAAGCTTTTGTAATGCTATCACCACAGAGTAGATAAAACGAAGAAGGGTCACTTTCAGTGTAAGCAAAATAGTGACGACCATATAATAATGTATAGATATAACATTTTAGGAGTGTAGTCTTAAGAAGATGGCCGCCGCGTTTTTGTGCGATAAGCATCTTCCCCGTGACAATTTTTATCAGTGTCCGGGGCCTGATATCACTATCGACCTCCGTTAATCTACTGATTGTTATCAGTAATTCTTATCAGTTCACGTTATTATTTTTAAATGGTGTGTACGATATTTTCGGCACTATAATTATTAAGCTATTTGGTTTTATTTAATCTGTGGTGATGTGTAGTTATAAGTTCGAAGATTTGGTTTTTTCTTGTTTTGATTGTTGAAAAATACTAAAAAAATGTGATTTTTAAATATGTTAAATATTTGGTTTATCAAAAAAAAAAAGGATATGACAAATCTTATCATGTTTTGTTTTGCTAGCGAGTATTTTTGGTCTAAAATCATCGATAACTATTATTGTTTTATTGTTAGAAAATCGGGCGCATAACGTCTTTTTGATACATTGTTATAATATTTTATAAATACACGGGAAATAAATTAGCCATTAACAACCTTGTCGGGGTCTTATCGTCGGGCGAAAGTACAAAAATCATTAAGAAAATAATACAATGTACAACGCTCGGCGGAATATGTAATAAAAATTAATTGAAAAACGGCGAGCGCCGTTTGCGGTCATTTGATTGTCTTATCAGCGAAAATATTACAAGATGTGTGTATATATTATATTGTAATGAAATAATAATTCTCACGGTGGCTCAAGTTGGAGACCTTCGAGTGCTGTTTAACTACACGATGATGATGAGGAGTTTGTTTGTTTACAAAACTTTTTCAATTTTCGCCCATTTTTTCCACAACGTAAACTAAACAAACGGCGTTTTATAGAAGTCCACTCGTCTAATCAGGTAGTAATTCTTCGCTTTGTGACATTGACCTAAACCTTACGCGTATACCTACATATAATATTGTTATATTAATTATGTTATCTCTTATCACTTACATCTTATCAATTATCTTCTGCCTGTTATCTCTTATCAATTATCCCTAAACTTTTATCTCTAATTAAAAGTGAAAGTTTAACGCTCTTCCATTTCACCCTAACTATATATGTGTGTGTGTATATAGTTTTTCAAAACTTATACACTACACTATATTATTCAAGGCGTATCGCCAAGATAAGACGGGCGTTTCTTGTGCAAAAAAAAACCTAGTCGTTTTCTCCGCTCCGCGGATAAACATTGAATCGTGGATTAATCATGTTATCTCTTATCACTTACCTCTTATCAAGTATCTTCTGCCTGTTATCAGTTATCTCTTATCAATTATCTTTTGTCTCTCAACTAAAAGTGTAACGCTTCAATTTTACCCTAATCCCTTCTTACTTCCCTCTATACGGACCCATCCTAAAATGACACTATAGATGTTTGTAAATGGCGTTTTTGATAACTTATACACTACACCGGTGACAACGGTGTAGGTGATATTAGAAAAATATTATTGTTACTACGCTAAAAAGCCGTGGTCGGTTTGACGTCTAAAAATACGTCAAAACGATAAACAGCAGACAAAGCGTACACACAGTGTATTCCTCGTCCTATATGCGCACCGTTGCTGGGGCGTGGGCGGTCCAAGAAGATCAACCCAGAGAGACAATCTTTAGTTCTTAAGAGTGTACATTATATTATATATATTATGAGTACTCGTGTTGTGACTTGTGGTCAATGAAAAAAAAAAAACCAAAACACGGCACGCGAGCAATGCGAGTATTATCATCGTCCGGACGGATATGTTTTATTTAAAAAACAATTTTTTAATTTATTTTCTTTTCTTTGGCTCCCGGCCACTACCGCTCTGGCTGCTGCAGTTTTTACTGTTTTTTTTTTTTTTTTTTTTACAACAGTCACCCATCGGCAACCCGTCCATTAGTCCTTTTCCCCGCCGGCACAGCGGCAATTACAACATTAATTTACGATACGGACAGCAGATCACACGTTGAAATTTATTAAGACAATATTCTCACACCAAACGACAACTGCACCGACGTATACTTACATGAAAATTTGTATTATAATTTGTAGACACAACACACACACGCATAGCTGTGTTTTTTTACAACGGCCGATTTCTGCTAAAGTCTACAATATTGACAGGGATTAAAATATATACAACATCAGACAGTGCATTCGTAGATATTAAAACAGTAGATTTTCAGATAAAGATTAAAATATTGGTTTAAACTCGATATGCAGCAGGGCCAAATTATAGAGCTGCGAATGTCGTACACACTGTTTACAATGATAACGTAAACTGATAAGAACGACTGATAACAAGTAGTTAAATAACGGCGGCGATAACTGATAACATTACAGTGATAACGTAAACTGATAAGAAATAATGATAACGAGTGATAAATATGAGATTATTGAAGTCTGTTTACATTTTTCAATTATTTTAGAGTGCACTATCTGGTTTTATATATTTAATCTGCAATATTTTAGTTTAATAGGACGTCGTGGCGGTACTTCCCTTTAAATGAAGTATAAGTATATTACAAGTACACGCATACACAATGGTTGATGAGAGGACGCCATGCCTTCTATTTATTAAGGACTCGGGCAGGTTAAACTGTAATGTGTAATACAAATTAATAGTTCAGCGCATTTATCTACAACGCAAATGATGAATGCAAAAATACATTCTTTTTTCAAAAGATTTGAAAAAACCGCATATGCGGTTCGCTGGGAAATCTTATCTCTGAATTGGCTTTCAAAATTATTTTTATCTGTTGGTTAAACGCGTTTTTACCATTGAAAATCATCGACGATAGATCCTCTGTTAAATACACAGTTAGGTTTGTCTTATGACCTACACAAACACAAACGGTTTAAAGTTCAAGCGCAGTACACATTGTTATTAATATATATTATTATTACAACAATGTAGCCTCGTTGTTTCAATAACGAAAATTAAAACGTTTTTAGATAAAATAAATGTATAAGTAAAATTAATATTAATACCTTCTCAGCTTGGGCACCAAAGCTAGAAGTTAAAGTTTAAAGAAAACAAACATTAACATTAACTCCACATGCATTACATAACTGTTGCGAATCGTATACCTTACCAGACATAGTTATATTATCAAAAGACTATAAATAGCGGATCATTATATTGTTTTGAAACGGTGAAAATATGATAATCATATTGTATATATATAATGCATTGATAAGACTTAGAAAAAATAAAAAAAACATTCATCAAACAATACTGCTGTATATAAAAATACATGTTTTGCCAAATAAGCCGTCGAACAAAACGTTGTTAAATTGTGCATTTTATTTCTACCGTTAATAAATAATTAATAAAAAATATTACGTTCTAATCGGTCAAAGAAATAATTTAAATTAAAAAAAAATAATAATAATAAAATTGATTATTAATCGCTTTAACATTTAAGTACACTTTTTAATCTCCTTCGACGAACTTCGACTGTATGGTTGAACTTGGTCTGTTCAAGTTCAAAAAACTGTTTATCTAAATATTAATGGTTGTATTTCATTGTTGTGCACAAAGCTTGTTCTTATATTTGCAAATAACAATTACAATATACATTTAAAAAAAAATTAAAAAATACTTTACCAAGTGTACATAAAAAAAATGGGTTTAATATTTTTCCAACAATATAAAAATGGACAAAATAGTTTTCCATGAACACATATAGTGCAACGGACTACTAGACTATATGGATTATTAGTGTTATTACGATTTGATTTATTTTCGCAAACTTACCCAAAAAAATGGATCAATTAATCAAAACACTGTTATTTTATACTGTTTTTTAAAAATTGTATTCACATATTATACACAAAAAACACACGACTGTCGTGGTGCTCGGCCTGAACCTGCAGCAATGTCTACCGCGCACCTTCTCTTCGAGGTGTGTTGTATTCGTCGATAGTATAGGTATTTTTTATTTAATTTTTTTTTTTTTACCAAACTCAAAAAAATAATTATCGACAGAGATAAAAAAAACACACACACACACACACACATTTTACAATGCCAAATTAAAACCATGCGCGGCAAAGTCACGCCGTCAACGCGAGGATTAGCGTGCGTGTGTGTATAATATTATGTAAATAATACCTGGATAGCTCTATTAGCTCCGCCCATATATATATATATATATATATGTACACGTTATAGTACTGTTGTAAATTTTAATTCGAACCTGTCATCCCACCTCACGTGTTCTCTAGCTAAACCGAGTGCAATACAGAAACAATATATGTACTTACGTATAGTATTGGTTAGGTGTAGATAGGTGACAGAACACTCGTGTCCCAATTTTAAACACACACACACACACACCAATGTTAGCGATGTTAATCGCTTTACATTTGGCCGTTTAATAATATGTATTTTACAAAGAAACTTACCTGGCGAAAAAAAAATTTCAATATAATTATATTTTAGCGGTAAAATAACACACACACCTAACCAAACCTAACCTAAGCAAACCTAACCAAACCTAACCTAACCAAACCTAACCAAACCTAACCAAACCTAACCTAACCAAGAAACTTACCTGGCGAAAAAAAAATGTCAATATCAATATATGCTAGCGTTAAAATAACATACACACCAAACCTAAACTAACCTAACCTAACGTTAATATTATAGCCAGTGGTTGTGTAAGCTTGCAATATATTAATAATAATAATAATAATTCATTATATAATCAACCTTACCGCTGTCGATTGACCCATAGCTCGACCTAACCCCATTGTTGTTTTGAAACGAAAATAAATCAGTATGTTATTAGAATATTTCAATAAAAAAAGTCCATAAAATAACAAAAACAAAAAAATAAGATAAGTATATTTTTTATTATTGTACCTCTACTATTATTATCATTATTTGTTGGAATAAAACATAAATTAAAGTCGTTTGATCTCGACTACTGTCCGACATTAGGTTGGCTCAACTGTTTATTTATTTATTTAGTTTATTCCAATTATATTTTTTAAAAAAAAAACGTCTAAATATAACAATTATTCGTAAAAAAAAATCCTGTCTTGTCGAGTGACAATCACCGCTGCTATGAGTGGTGTTATGGAATATTGTGTGTGACTACTTAATGTACCCTATTGTTTTCCCAACACATTCCATTAATCTGTTGTAATTAAACGGCGCAAACCCGAGAATTCAGTAAAACCTATGTGTACCCAAGTATAATCGTAAGTAAACATATCAGTCTCGGTTGTTGTAAAATTATTTATAGACAATGTTCAAGTGCCAACGAACAACAGCGGTTTAACAATCGATTATTAGCCCGTCTGAAGCGGTTAGATAAAAAAAAAAATCCAACGTCGGTTTCCTCATGTTTTTCGAGTACTCAGACATGCCGAATAGATGATTGAACACACACACTCACACACAACTATGACAAATAATAATAAAATATTACAAAGGATAAACCGTGCGAATACAACCAACGCAATCGCGAATAATATGTGCACGTTGTAATTATTGTTATTGAAATATATATTAAAATATAGAACGCTTATTGTACCCTGCTGCTGCTGCTGAGGACCTAACCTGACAAGTATTACACATGAAGAAATAAAATATTCCCAAATGATGTGTAGTGGATTTTTAAAGTTACAGCCCTCATAAATATTATATTCTGACAATGGTTTTGGCCGTGTATAATAATAGTTTAAAAACCCGTAACTAAGGCAGCTGTGACGGTGAAATGCGGATTAACCACATAAAGAACGGAACATAATTCTTAACATCATCTTAACGCTTAACTCGGTATGGTATCTTTAAACAGGTACATGCATTTTATGTACAAACTCTCCAAGACCAACTTTTAAAAGGTACACTATTATTTGAATTATTTTTGATATTTTAAAATTTACCCCTTGCCAAGTTAAGTGTTAGTAGATTGAGATTTTTTGATAAATTATCTACAACCCCCTCTACCCCCCACCCCTTAATGAATATAGGGGTAAATCTTTTATTATTTGTACCTGTTGTTCGTCTTTGAGGGCGAGTTGGGACTGAGCTGTTCGTCCCGGATGTGCATTTTGGACGACAGTTTCTTCAGCACGTCGTCCATCGTCCGCTTGGCGGCCGGCCCGGCCAGCGACATGACGTTGTTGTTGTTATTGTTATTGTTGTTGTTGTGATTGTGCATGAACGTGTTGTTGTTCAAGTGCATCTGCAGGTGGGCGGCGGCCAGTTTTTCGGCCACGGCGTCGTCGCTGTTCCGCAGCCGCTGCTCGATGTCGAAGTACGGCGAACCGCCGGCCGACTGTCCGCCGTCCAACATGTGAAACGGCGGCGGCGGCCCGTGCTGCTGGCCGGCGGCCATCAACGCCCGTTCGTACGCGGCCGCCGCCACGGCGGCCGTCTCGTAGAACGCGTTGTGGTTGAGCGTCAGGAACGACGCTAGGTGCGATTGGGCCTGTTGCGGCTGTTGTTGTTGGTGGGACGACGGCGACGAACCGGCCTGTTGCCGGCCGCCGTACGGGTACGGCGATGTACCGTCCCCGGCGGCGGCGCACGGGCTTTCGGTGCGCTGCCGCTTTTTGGACTGCGACCTGGACGGCGACGAGGCGGCCGCGTACCGGCCGCTGCTGTTGTCGCTGCAGTCGGACGACGGCGGCGACGACGTGCCGCTGCTGCGGCCGCCGGCCGGTTGGACGGCCGACGGCGGCGGACTGCCGGCGGCGGCGGCCACCACCGGACTGCCACAGTTTCTGTCCACAGCTGCGTCCATGCCGCCGCAATAGACGTCCGGGTAGAAATCCGTCGTCTTACCCGTTTCGCCACTGGCGTTCTCAAGCAACTTGGACGGCGGCGATTTGCGTTTCGATGACATTACACTGCGAAAAAGCACACAAGTCCACGGATTAGATAAGAGACTGATAAGAAGCTGATAAGAGAGCTGAGACTGTATACAACTGTATTATGCACAATTGTGTACCGTTCCGATAAAACGTTATCCAAATAATCATCTAGATAACACCACATTATTCGAACAGAAAGTTATTCGAAGAACTTCAAAAAACGGTCATTCGAATAGTTTTAATTTTAACTATTCGAATAGAAAGTTATTCGAAAAACTTCAAAAATAGTTATTCGAATAATTACAAATTTAATTACTCGAATAATTTTTAAAAACATTATTTCCTACAAATCTAATATATTCTACCGGGTGATCGGTCAACGATGGACCAGTCAATAACTTAGAAGATATTAGACTTTTTTTTTTATAATTTTATAGCTATTATTTTAGTTGAGACAAATTAAATATATTTTTGAAAACCGTAAGAACTTAAGAATTTTAAACGGTAACGTATATATTAATTTATTAACTTTTTAAATTGAGAAAAATGTTTGACTGGTCGATAACCAGTTTTGGATAATTGGTCTTCAAGTTATTCAATTTTATAGATAAAAACATCTCTACTCTCCATCCTTCCTCCGTTCCTACATTTTAAACAATTATCCAAAACTAGTTATCGACCAGTCAAAATATTCAGTAAATTATTCTTAATTAAAAATGTCTAATATCTGGGACAATGATAGATATCATATAATTACAATGGCTATAGGACATACTTTTGGGACATGATAGTCCTCGAAGGAATTATACCCGGGAAAAAAAGAAGAGGAAGACCTAGAGCAAATTTTACATCACAGACAAATATGTGGATATTAAAAGGGAAATAGAAGACAGGGATGAATGGCGAGGAGAGTTGTAGGAAGAAGGTGAAGAAATACAGGAATGCAATTCGACAAATTGTAAACAAATGATTCGAATAAGAATTTGCACAACTCTGCGACAGTATGAGTGTATTTTAAACTTGTAAACCTATTTCCAACGTTAGTACTTTGCCACTATTCTAATATGCGTTTTTGTCATGTTCACGTTATATAATCTCGGCGCGGTTATTGCGTTAATAATTGTTATTTAATTTTTTTTTTTGCTCCAAGTCGTTATTTTGTATTATCATCACCACAATAGCCGAACGAACGTCGTATCGTGCCAAATAGAATAGCTATTATTATTATTATTATTATTATTATTCATCGATGGCCCCGTCATTTATGTAACAGCTTGTTGGGGATTGCGCAAAAGTCAGATTAAAAATCGCCTCCTCCTCCTCCTCCTAATCCTCTAGTCCTTATGGTAATATTTATTTAAACGTGTTAGACAGAAGTAACCGACAATATAATAATGTACACAACATTGTAAAAACCGAATAAAAAGATTAGTTTGCGCTAAATTAATACCAAAAAAATCCACACTCTTAGGTAACGCGGGCTAAAAAACCATTTACATGCATGTAAGTCTGTGAATATGATAGTAATATGTAAGCAGCTAGTGTGCAATATTATAGTATGTGTATTATTATTATTATTATTTTTAAAGCGGTACAATTTTTTTTTCACAGAGGTTATCGGCGGAACCGACTGAAACACAAACTATAATATTATATACATATATTGTAGATAGATAACGAGCTCTCTAACAAAACACCAATTGCGAGGCGCGGAGATGTGATAAACGCAGACATGCATAAAACACACACACACACACTCAAAGCAACGCCACTACTATTTAATCTATATCTATTCATATTGTTATTATTTTTTTTTTCTCTCCATTGACGATTATATTTTTAATAAAAAAAAAAAAAAATTAATTAAAAAATCCTATAAGACCACCGCCGTTATAGAAAACGCTGGCGATGACCCTCACACACACACACACACACACCTTATAATATGTGTGTGTGTGTGTGTACTATCTACTATATTATAGTTCTCCGGCAGTCACAGTCCATCGTGTTAATATCATCATATAACATACGGTCGGGTGTTCTGCGAAAAACATTGTTGAAATCGCCAATTAAACTACTGGCATTGTTCCTATAGTGAATTAAACACACTATGTGTGTATGTGACAATGATTCACACTTGTCACTTGTCACATCACACACGGGCCCGTATGAAACTTGATTTTGTAAAAAGGAGATGCCAAGACAGGCGTGGAGGGTTAGGTGTGAATATAGACTGAGATAAAGAAAGATAACTGAGAAATCAGCAGATTGGAGGATTTGAAGGAAAAGGAAGGACACCGAGACTGTGGATTTAAACGGTTGATGTACAAGTCCGTATTACAAGATATCAATATAAATATAAAGGGAACAGGGGAAGAAGGGTAGTCCATTTATGAAAATTGTTTTCTTCAATACATGCCGTTAATTTGTTATATGTCAATAGATAGTTTAAATAAATACATTTTTTTAGTAGAATAGCACTTGATGTGATTTTTTTTTTTTTGTTCTTAGGTAAGAGGCAGAGGAATTCACGAACTTTGTTTTTGCTTTACTCTAAAATGTTCATACATGGACTACTGCCCTTCTTCTCGTGCGCCCTTTATATATATATATATCTGCTATAATATGATATTATGCAATAGCTCTTGGCCGGAAACCGTGCCGATTACTTCCGAATCGACTGGACTTGAGACGGTGAAGTTTCTGCAGACAACAACAACAGCACACACACACACACACGGTTAAGCGGGAAATGGATTCGATTTCCCATTCGGTCGCCTTAAGACATCATGTTATATTAAAACACAGATTGGCGTTTTCTATAGGTCCACGACCACCGGCTTAATGTAAAATTCCCCTCTTCCCGCCACTCCCTCCACAGGTCCCTGACGGGAACGCGGGGTTTTTTTTTTATGATTTTCTTAAAAAAAAATGTTTTTAAAAAACTGGGATAAATCGTTCGTCGCCATTGTTGTGATAATAAATATGTTTATATAAATACTTTGTGTCGGGGATGGTCTGCCGGACATAGGCACGCGCACGCATAAACAATTATTGTGAGTCCACGTGTGGTTTAATAATAGTAAAGAGTATTAACACACATTTTTCCGTGTGTTATTTTTTTGGTAGACACACAAAGTGGAGAAACCGAACGAGGTAACGAAGAGCTACAAAAAAATCAGAGGAACAGAATGATGTACCATTTTAAAGGACATATTATTATTTTGTATTGCATTGTTAAACACAGTGTGTTATTGATCACGACGAAAGAGCACATCTCTTTAGTGTGGAAGGACTCCGAATTTTGCTGCAGCACGTCATTGTTGTTGTTTCGGACGAACAAATAAAAAAATAATTTTTTGGTGGATTACAAGGAGGTAAACGATTTTTCGCCTTATATATTGTATAATTCTCTATTGCCTACAATGCGCTATTTAATCACTTAAAAAACGCGGTAGGTTTTTTTGGTAAATTTATAAAAAATAATAAAAATATAGAAAAAAATGTTTTTAATAAAAACCAAAAGCGTATTAATTATGTTTTAACGTCATCGACCGCGTGACGGATTTTCTTTTTCATTGCTTACAACACAAGCAGACAAACGACCGCAGACGCCGCCACCTTGTATCACTTCTCAAGTTTTGGCACGGACGATGGCCCAAGGAACACACATTCGAATTTCTTTTCTTGACTCTGTTTTTTTTTTTTGTTGTCCATTACCATAAATTTGTTTTTAAACCCGTTCTACAAACGACGTCCCGGTAAAAAAAAAATAAAAAACAATTTAATAACTTTCCTAAAACGGTATTATAGGTGTATTATCTGAGCAGAGTTGTGCAAATTCTTATTCGGATAATTATTTCACAATTTATTCGAACCAAATCGATTCCAATCATTTTCCTTCAATTTATTCGAATTTATAATTTCTTTATTCGAATAATTAAATTTGAAATTATTCGAATAACTTTTACTCGAACAATGTACCTTTCAAAAATAATTATTCGAATAACTTTTACTCGAACAATGTGTTATCTAGATCTAAATTCTAAATTCTAGATCTAATCTAGATCCTAACGTTTTATTCGAACGGTGCACACAACTCTGCCACCGAACCTCTTCAGTGATATGATGATTGTGTACCCCCTTTTTATTAAGAAGTTGGGTAAAGGCGTTTTTTTTTTTGGCCAAAATCATTACTAATTCGGTAATTAGGACTACTCCTTTATTATTATTTTTTTTTTTCAATGTTAATTTATTTTTCGGGCTATCACAGCATCTGACACAACCCTATTCGTATTCGTACCCTTCACACTTTAGAGGGGTAAAACATTGCCTTCTTACCGACTTACCCGCGTCCCGTTGCTCGACGAATCCGACACTTTGAGTGGTTATATATGTGTTGTACACACACATAGATTGTATCACGTTTTAAATTAAATTATAATAATAAAAACAATTAACACGGGTCATACATCACACGCCGTTTGCTGCCACATGTGTGTGTTGTTACGCACATCGTCGAAAAAAGCCTACAATGACATTGTCCTCCTCCCCCCACCCACCACCACCGCCTTCTTCCCCTTACACTGTTCAAAACTCTGAGCTGATAACGTCGGCAATCGATTATAATATACAGAGACATCGAATTACGCAAGCCGCCGCGATGACTTACGAGATTTTGTAACTTAAACGAAGCCAACTGGTTTTTTTTTTAAATATTTTTTTTTTTTTGTGTGAATACTTGTCTTTATCTCTCTCTATCTCTGTCACACACACACGCACACACACACACACACACTGTAAACGTCACTGGTCACCGAGAGACTGTACTCGTGTACATATTGTTTCATTAGGTCCACATCATACGGTCGCATATTGCCTATATATCTTTATAAATTATAACTGAACCCCCCCCCCCATCATTTGTCCCAACCGTTTTGAAAATATTTTTCACCAATAGTCGATAATTTGGAAAATATTGTGGAGACCCGACATAGAGAGGTGGAGAAAAACTAAAGTAATCTACGAGTCGCTAT